CCCTCCGCCGCAGCCGCCTCCTCACCTTCCCGCACCGCGTCGCCCCCAGGAGCCCAGGCGACCCCGAGGAGAAGGGAGCTCCCCGTTCCGGGCACCCCGTCCTCCACTTTTGCAGCACCGGTTACGGTGGATTCGGGGTGACCTTATGCCACTTCCCCACCAGCCCCCTCAGTGAAGACCTGATTCCCCCAAGCGGCCCGGGCTCCCAGGGCCGCGGGAGGAGCGGAGATGGGCCTGGCCTGGGGCTGGGGTCTCTCCTGGAGCTGGGAAGAGGCGCTCCCTGGCTAGGCTGGGTCGTGCTGACTCGGGCCTGGGAAGGCTGGCCACCCGTGTGGGCGCTGGCCCGAGGCTGGGTGGTAAGAAGGGGCCGGCCCGTCCCAACCCATGGTCGGGGAGCTCATCCTGGGACGTCTGAAATGGCGGGATATCATGTTCTCCCGGACTTGCCACTTCGGAGCGACGCTGGGGCCTTGGGTGGGGCAAGCCCGCGAGTGGGGGTGGGGACACGATGACAGCGGTTTGCCTTTCTCTTGGGGATGAGCCCTACCCAAGCTCTATTAATACCTGTGCCATAATTATCATATTGAATCTCACAACTGAGTTCAATGTTCTCCCCATTTCACAGACTGATAAACTGAGGCTTAGGAGGGGTATTGGTGAATTGTCCGAGGTCACTCCGAGTGTAAGGGAAAGAGTAGCCCCTTTCCAGGTCAGTCAGGCCTCCTGACCATGATGTTCCGGAGGGGTGGAGCTGCTTTTGATATGGGCTAGTGTGGTAGGGAGGTTCTGACAGCTTGGCGGCCCTCCTGGGGTTGGGGGGAGGACAAGCAGGATGTGTGTGCACTTGCGCTGTCCCCCTTCAAGTGAGTAGAGACCCCGATGCAGAGTGGGCTGGGCTGCTGGGAGTGTGGCCCGCGGGGTTCCTGCCCTTGTGAGTGGGATGACCTGGCTGCTGCCTCCTGGACTTCCTCGCCTGTGCATATCCTGCCACCTCCCTGCTGGCCCTTCCTGTCCTCAGCAGCCTCCCCTTCCCCATCAGGGAGCAGAGGGGGATGTGGGGGGAGGAGCTGAGTCAGTGTCCTGGGGCCAGGGGGAGCGAGGCTGCATTGCCTGCTGGGTGCTTGCCAGGTTCTGAATTGGGCGCTTTCACATTACCGGAGTTGATCCTTTGTGGTGATGACCCCATCACAGATGAGGAAACCGAGGGGTAGAGAGGTGAAGTAACATGTCCCAGGTGACGCAGTTGGTCCCTGGCTGAGCCAGAATTTGTATCCAGGTCTGTTCCACTTTTCTTTCCCGGGAGAGATAAGAAGTACATAGTTGCTTCTCCTGGGGCAGCCTGTGCTGAGCAAGCGGAAGTGTGTGGGGGGTGCTTGGAGGAGGGACAGCACATCCGTGATGGTGGGAGGAGGGCTTCCCGAGGGAGATGGTCTTCTGTAATTGTAGGATGTTGTCAGGTGAAGTTGGCCTGGGGAGGAGGGCAGAATGTTCTAGGGAGGCAGGAGCATGGCACGGGGGTGCAGCGTGGGGCCAAGCTGCTTGGTTGTGCTTGGGGACTGGAGAGAGCATAAAGGAGGGGCCTGGGAAGGAGGGCCTCAAGGTAGGGAAAGCAATTTGGGCTTTGGTTGGGGGCAATGGGGAGCCAAAAAAGGTTTCAGAACAGAGGGGAGGCTCATGATCACTGTTAACAGCTGGTGATTCTGGGGCTGGGCCTGGAGTCAGGATGCTTTTCTACCCCCTTTTGCCTTAGCCCTGGTTCAGCTTTGCTCCTGGAGCCTCATTCCCCGGCCACATTATTTTATTATTATTACTGATTCTGGGGCTGGGCCTGGAGTCAGGATGCTTTTCTACCCCCTTTTGCCTTAGCCCTGGTGCAGCTTTGCTCCTGGAGCCTCATTCCCCGGCCACATTATTTTATTATTATTACTTTTTTTTTCCTTTTTTTTGTCTTTTTTCGTGTCCCCACATTATATACTTGTTCACTTGTTTACTGTCTGTCTCCTGAGATCCACCAGGGCAGGGGCCACAGCACTCATTCACAGCTGATTTCCTGACTGAGAACAGTGCCTGGTGCTTTAAAAAAAATGTCTACAAACACTCCCTGAGCCCCCTGTCTGCGCTGGGTGCCCGACTGTGAACTGTCTAGCCTAGCCTGTGAGGGATAAATGGCCTTGCAGATGCAACAGGGGTCTCGCCAAGGGCCGTGGGAGGGCAGCACAGAGGGCAGCTGGTGGTGCAGCATGTGGTATTGGGGAAGGGACCTCAGAGGTGGCAATTAAGCCAAGTCCTAAGGCATGAGTAGGGGCTTGCCTGGTCAGCGGAGAAGGAGGAAGCCTAGTATTCGAGGTGGAGGACACGGGCATGTGGGAAGGGCCCTGAGTCCTGGTATGTGAGCATCATGAGGACTGTGTGGTGGTATAAACGTGTGGCTCCTCGAAAAGGGGAGGCCAGGATGCAAGAGTGGGTTGAGGTTTTTGTGCCATCTTGAGGCAGCTGGACTTTGTTTTGAATCCACCTGGAGCCATTCTGGGAGATTTTAGCAAGCTTGTGATACGAGGCCTTTTTGAGTGGGTCTCTCTGGCAGTGTGTGCATAGAGGGGGCTGTGTCCATGACCCAGGTGGGAGGCAGGGCTGACATTTGGCCAAGGTGTGTGTGTGTGGGGGGCCTGTAAGAGCCTGTCAGTGCTCCTGAAAGGAAAAAGGAGAAACCAGACCTCCTGCAGGTAGAGGAGAGATGGCTGGGCCTGAGGAGCGGCGTGTGAAGGTGCCGCGCAAGAGATTTAGGTTATTAGACCTTTGACCCTGAGCTCAGGTTCCCCTGAAAAAGGGTTTAAAAGTGTGTGATGGTGGTCTCCTCTCCCAAGGTTGCAGTGCCATGTCGTGGCAGTGAGTCTGAACTGGCCTCTGGAGGGTCACCAGGCTTCTCCGTGTATGGCACATTCAGTCTTCTCTGAAATCTGGGGGGAGGGCAGGACCCGCTATCATTGGCCACATCAGGCAGCCAGGGCTCAGACAGGGGATATGACTTAGGAAAGTCACAGCGACTACACTTCCTGGGCAGGCCCAGGGGTCCCAGTCTGTCATTCCGGCTGGGGAGCCATTGCTCAGCCACTGGAGCCTGTGGTGATCTCCCAGCTCTGGCCCAGGGCTGATTGGCTGTGTCCTCTGCTTGGCCCTCCCAGGGGCTCTCCCCTGGGTCTGCCTGGTGATGCCAGCTCCATGGGCCTAGGAAGCCTGGCTTCTCAGGGCCAGGATGGGAGGGGGGGGCTGCCCAAAAAGCACACTAATTTAGACAGGGAGGTAGAAGAGGATAGATATTTATTCAGCAAGTTTTCTCTGAGGCCTGCTGTGGCCAGGCCCAATGCCAGGCCCTGGGGCCCCAGAAGATCCCAGTCTAAAGGGAAGTGGAGCCAGATGTGGTCACCAGTCTTCAATCTTAGCTTGGGACCACTCTGGGCAGCCTCTATCACAAGTGGGAGACTGGTGGGCAGAATAGAGAGCAGACAGAACAAATATAGCCCCAGGGCTTCCCAGCTCAGATCAGAGCCTATATCCCTTCCCTTAGACGAGGTATGCAGGGTGTCCTCTCGCTCAGACAGGTAGACAGAGATGCACCCACAGGGGAGGGACTGCCAGACTGCTGAGGTCCCCTGACATGGCTGTGGATGGTCTGGATATCCAGGCTGCTGACCCAAGTGCTCTCAGTCCACTTCCTTCATCTGAGGAGAAGGAAGGATAAGGGGCTCCTTGTGGATAAGGGGGGTGATCAGGAGATGTGGCCAGGTCAGGTGGCTCTGGTTTCCAGCTGCCACTGTCGCCATCCACCCCACTGAGCCATGACATCAACTCCCTCCATGCAATCAGACACCTTGGCCTGGGGAAGCCATGATGTAGGCACTGATAGGTGGGCTCAGAGCCATGGCAACAGGTGGCCGCCTCCTCCCTGCCCTCCATCCTGGCCCTCTCTGCTCTCCTCCCTGCCAGTAGGCAGGAGCTGATACTGCAGAGGGATCGGCACCTAGATGAGAGAGGTCTCCCTCGGGCAGGGAGGGTCTGGTGGTTGGCACCCACTAGATGGACATGGTTAGAAAAATGCCAGATGAGCATCTTCATCTAGGCTTGGGTGGGGGTTCCTAGTTCACAGGTCCCCTGGAACATGCTGCAGCTGGGAGCCCCCAGACTCCGGGGCTGTGTTCCCCTGGGCACCACCCAGCAGGTAGGGCTTGCCAGGACTGAGGTGCCATCACGCTGGCCTTCCCAAAGAGATTGATGGGGGCCCAGAGGTTTCTGACCCCAGCCTGGGACTGGCTCTACCTTTCAGGGTCTCCAGGAGATGAGGGATGGGCAAGACTGGTTGGGCAGACTGCAGAAGGGTCAGTGGGTTGGGAATGGGCAGGAACATGAAGGTATTCTCCCGGTGGGCCACCTGGGCCTTGTCAGAGAAAGGAACTGGACTGTTCAGTATGCCCTGCTGGTCTGGGCTGTTCTCCGAGCTCTCTAGGGGTCTCTTTTTACAGGCCACGTTCTCTCAGTCCCCTCTCTCCCACTCTTGGGTGAGGAAGTCGGCTGATGGGAAGGTACCTGGACATCTGTGGTGTATGTGCCCTCCACCTGGCCCAGCCTTTTGGCTCTTAGAGAATGCCAGAAGTTGGAGAAAGGGGCCAAAGCTGCCTCAGTGGCTGAGGAGCCTGCTTGGGTTTAGGGGTGTTGCCTGGGCTCTTCGTCCTCTCTGCTGGCTTCCCAGGACCTCATTCTTACAGGACTGGGGCAGGATGGGTGCAGCACCCCCTTTTCACCAACCCAGTTGGCTTCCTGCTGGGCCTGACTCATCTGCCTCTTCATCTCCCATAGCCCGATCTGCTCAACTTCAAGAAGGGATGGATGTCAATCTTGGACGAACCTGGAGAGGTAGGAGGGCTGAAGCCGGAGTGGAGGAGGTTGGCTTGTGCCGCTGCTGGGGGCAGCCCAGGAGTGAGCTGCTTCCCTGGCCTGTCCAGCCTTCTGGAGACCCTGGCCTCAGGCGGGTGGGGGTGGGGTCCAACGTGAGGGCCAGAGTGAAAACTCTGGGGGTGGGGCATTTCTTGTCCAGTTGGAAAGAGGGCCTGGGCTGCGGGGGTGGGAGGGGCAGAGGCTGCTGGTCCTCTCTGCCTGCTGGAGCAATCTACAGTGTGTAAAAGTCACCAGGGGTCAAGGTCTGCTAGCCCTGCAAGCTTGTGCTCCATCCCCCACCCTCACCAAGAGCCATTGGCCCTCCCATCTCATGCTGACCCTGGCTGGGGATTCAGGGGTTTGGGGTGGAAGGGTTCATGGAGGTCATGTGGCCTGACACACACAGATTCCCAGCAGCTCAGCCCTGGGGCTCAGAACATAGGCTCCAAAGGCTACCCAAGCTGGGGCCCCATTGGCCAAGTCACAGCCTGCTCCTGGCTTCTGTGGTCACATCTGTGACATGATCATAATGGAAAACTCTAGTTCTTTCCAGAGTGGATAACAAAGTCACAGAGATGAAGCATGTAAAAGGTCCCACACAGTCCCTGGTACCTACTGTGGGTTCAGCTAATGACCCTTCCCTTCCTCTAATGTATCTGTCCTTAGAACCAGAAGGGACAGTGGCCATTTCACCAGCTGTTCCCTTCGGCTGCAAGTCTAGAGCCTGGAAGCTGTAGCTGGCTACCTGCCCACCGGGCCTGAGGGGGACAGCCCCCCAGCCCTGCCCTGCATGTGCCTGTGGCTCGGGTCTGCATGCAGCCCACATGCCAGGGAGGGCTCGGAGCCAAAGGGAATCTCATTGTGTTTCCTGCTCACGTGTTTTATTCCCTCCAGCCCATAGCCTTCTGTACCCGCTGACTGCTTGCCTGCCCATCCCCTAGTGGCTGCTCTCCAGGCTCACACAAGGCCTGGCACTCTGCCAGTGACCCCTTTCCGGCCTCCCCACCCAGGGTCCCCATAGGGCAGAAGGATTATGGGCCCCACCCAGAACTGGCCATTACTCATCCTCTATCACAGGGTTTTGGAATGTCCAAGTTGGAAGGGCCCTGGGAGTTCAGCCAGCCCAGCCCCTTGGTGCACATATGGGAGACAGGCCCACAGGGGTGTCGATCTCTTCCAGGCCTAGTGGCACCTTGGCAGACCCATGCCTAGAACTCGGGCACCTGAGGCCCATGGACCTCCATCCAGCTCTCATCTCAGACAGTCTTAGGCTAGGCCAGGAAGGGCCAAAGAAAGCATTTGGCATAGAGCCTCTGTCCTAGTTTACAGAAAGGCATTTGAGGTCCCAAGCAGCAACTCAGTCCACTCAGTGAGAGCAGAATGGTTCTAAGAGGGCTGGCCTCTTAAAACAGTACCCAACCACCTGGTGCCTGTCCTTATGCCAAGTGCCACAGAGACATACAAGGGAGGGTTCGCTACTTCTCACCTCACCAGAAGGCTTAGGGGCTTCTTATTAACCCTACCTAACAGATTAGAAGAGTGAGGCTCAGAGAAGTGGAGACATTTGCCTAAAGGCACACAGCTAACAAGGGACCAGTTGCAACCTAGGTCTCTGGGATACTAAAAATCCTGTTTCTCAGGGAAGGCAGTGTAGAAGTAGAAAGTGCCATCCTTGCACACGCTTGAGAACTTATCATCTTCTGAGGAAAGAAAACTAAGTACTTGAAAGAACAGATAGCATGAACAGGGCTTGGTGATATGGGGGGACCCTGGCAGTGTGCAGACCTCAACTAGCAGAAGCCCAGCAGTGGGCTGAGTGTGGTGTGTGTGATATCAGATTGTTCTGGTTCTCCCACCCCTTTCCTATGTGTCCTGCCAATCTAACCCTGGCTGGAGCAAAGAGGCACTGCAGAAAGCTGCCTGATCATAAACCACTAATTTACAAATTGATACGTTCTCACATGTGCAATACAAGTGTAACCAACACGCAGATCAAGAAACAGACCATGCCTCGTGCTCAGATACCTACCTGGGCCTCCTTCCAGTCCTACTCTCTGGGAGACCTTTGTCCTTGGCCACTATGGCAATCCAGGGATCATACGGAAAAAGACTTCTAAGTACTTGCCTCACTTACTCCCTGACTTGCCAGGCAAGTGACTTGACACAGGTCATGGCACCTCCTGATCTGCACTGGGGTCGGGGGGTGGGGGGTACTTGAGGAGCCTTGGCAATCTTCAGGAGGGGTCTGGGAGCATCACCAAATAAGAGAAGGACTCTGTATTAGTCTGATTCTGTTGCTTATAACAAAATACCTTGAACTGGGTGATTTATAAGACAATGAAATTTATTGCTCGCAGTTTCTGAGACTGGGAAATCCAAAGTCCAGGGAATGCATCTGATGAGGGTCTTCTTTACATGAGGCTTTACAGCAGTGCAGGTGTCTCACATGACAGAAAATGGTGGAACAGAAAGAGACTCTCACATGCTCTCCTTTTAAAGCCCTCAGAACCACGCCCCTGACCAGCATTTTTAATCCATTCACCACAGCATAGTCCTACAATTTAATCACCTCTTCAAGGCCCCACCTTTCAATTACATAATAGGATTTCCCACCCTCAACAGTTATGGTGGGGATTAAGCTTCTAATATATGAATTTGGGGGGACATAATTCAGTCAATCCACAACAGACTCCAAAGGAAAAGGATAGTGTAGGTGTGGGGGAGAAACCAACCGCTTTCACAGATGCTTCTCCTGAGGCTCAGAGAGGACATGGAGGAGCCAGGTTCAGGTCTGGGTTTTCTGACTGATCTGCTTTCCTATCCCTACTGTGTGCAGAATGGTTGACCTGACAGCTGCCCAGGACACCTGCAGACTCACATACACAGGCTCTTTGATTCTGCCCTCTCTGAGCCTCCCTTCCCTCACTCACCACTTCCTCTGCTTCACAGTGGAAGAAGCACTGGTTTGTGCTGACCGATTCCAGCCTCAAATACTACAGAGACTCTACCGCTGAGGAGGTGAGATGGTGGAGGGGAGGGCAGATCCATCTCCCCGTCTGGTGCTGATGGACCCCTGGAAGGGACTGGGATGGCCTGGCTGGGGGCAGCAGAGTGGGTTTTCTCAGGGCCTACATGGATTATGGTGGGCCCTCCTGCTCCAGGCAGATGAGCTGGATGGCGAAATCGACCTGCGTTCCTGCACGGATGTCACTGAGTTCGCAGTACAGCGCAACTATGGCTTCCAGATCCACGTGAGGCTCTGGGCAGCTGGGGATGGGGGTCAGCATGACTGGACGCCCCCCAAGGAGGTGTCAGTGTGGAACATGGCTCACTATCAAGACTGGTCCCCATCACTCATTTGCCCATAGACCCTTTCCTCAGAGCCAGTCAGAAGCTCTGGTGCTAACACTTAGCATATTGTACCTGGAGAAATCTTGCAGCCAGCAGTGCTCTTCCCAGTTTAGAGGAGGGGAGGTTTTGCACTCTCTGCTCACTGCAGACTCAAGACCTTAGACACTCTCCTGGGAAGGAAGGGCCACCCTCCCTAGGGTCCACAGTGGGGCGGGAGCCATGGGGCTGGCCATGTGGCAACCTACCTCTCAAGACCTTAGACACTCTCCTGGGAAGGAAGGGCCACCCTCCCTAGGGTCCACAGTGGGGAGGGAGCCATGGGGCTGGCCATGTGGCAACCTACCTGTGGACTTGCAGACCAAGGATGCTGTCTATACCTTGTCGGCCATGACCTCAGGCATCCGGCGGAACTGGATCGAGGCTCTGAGGAAAACTGTGCGTCCAACTTCAGCCCCAGATGTCACCAAGTATGTGCTTAGCTCTCTGGGGGCCTTGGGGGGGGCGCTTACCCCTGTACCCCTACCTGGGCTTCTGGACACTCACCTGAGGGCCCTGGACTATACCTTCTGGGCCTCAGTTTCTCTATCAACAAAGTGAGGAGAAGGCAATGAGCAATCTTGGCCTTTATTCAGAAATACACTGAGGATTTGAGGTTTGACCTTCCACTCCTTATATCCCCCCATATCCTGAAAGTGTGGAAAGGGGCCTCGGCTCTTTGGAGAAGATGCCTGTGTTAGGGAGAGGCGTGGCCTAGGTAGTCTGGCCTCTGTGCACACCTATCCCCCGGTGTGGACCTCACTCCCTGGAGGCTGCTGTGGGTAGAGGGGCAGGGGGGCTGTTACCTGATGGCAGATAGATGCCTGTGTTAGGGAGAGGCGTGGCCTAGGTAGTCTGGCCTCTGTGCACACCTATCCCCTGGTGTGGACCTCACTCCCTGGAGGCTGCTGTGGGTAGAGGGGCAGGGGGGCTGTTACCTGATGGCAGATCCCCCATACAGTGTAAACCCTAGATGCCCATGGGGTGGAGGGCTTCCACCTGCTGGGCAGCAGCCAGAGCATGGTGCTGAAGGGAGCTGAGCTGGAGTCCCCCAGCCTGGCCACACCCTGGCTGTTCAACCATAGGCCAGTGGCCTTCCCATCTGAGTTTCAGATTCTTCATCTGCCACAGTAGGGTGTCGTGTCTGCACATGCATGCAGATGTTCCTGGAGCCCTTTGTAAACTAAAGTACTGTGCTGTTGGACTGTTATTTAGTATGTAGGCTCAGCTGCTTTAACAAAGAAACTCCATACATGGTGGCTTAAATGAGATAGATGTTGTTTCTTTCTCTAGAAGTGTGCAGTCCAGGCCTCTTCGGGTAGCTCTGTGGTCCTCAGCCCACAACTTGGCCTCTGGGTTAGAGGGGCCTGCTTAGGCTCACATGGAATCCCAGCCAGGCCTCTCACACCCACTGGACAGAATGTAGTTACATGGCCACAAGTAGCAAGGGGGATGCTGGGAAATAGTTTTTGGCTAAGTACCATGTACGCAGCTAGTACTGTGGAAGAAGAGAACTGTCATGGTTGTTCAGAGTCTCAACAGCCTGTGTTCTGTGCACCCAGAGATCGCTGTCTTCATCTTGTCAGCATCGACTGTGGGCATCCACCCATTCCACTGTGAGCCTCCTGAATGTAGGACCTCATCTCATACATTTTTATATTTCATACTTTTAATAAGAACTTGTCTATCACCATTTGCAAAGGGCTTCCTGGTTTCTTTACATGCACTCTCAGGGGCAAGTCCTGTGATAGGCATTGTTGTCCCATATTACAGATGAGGTAACTGAGGCTCAAAGAGGGGAAGGGAAGCCAGATATCTTGGTCCCCCCGCTGGTTAGTGCTGGAGCTGGGATGTCCCCATGGTCTGCTAACAATGAAGCCTGAGTCCTCAACCTCTAATTTGGGCTGCTTCCTCCTCTGGGGTCTGTCCCCAACCCCTGATGCAGGGCCTGGCCCACAGGTGGCACTCTAGAAGCACTCGTTGTGGGACTGAGCAGGTAAGGTCCCACCTGACATGGCTCTGCTCATGGCGTAGGCTCTCAGACTGCAACAAGGAGAACACGCTGCACAGCTACAGCACCCAGAAGGGCTCCCAGAAGATGGGGGAGCAGCGGGTGGGCTCTGAGGTCATCGGCCGCGGTGGCCCTCGGAAGGCAGATGGGCAGCGGCAGTCCCTGGACTATGTGGAGCTCTCCCCGCTGACTCAGGGCTCCCCGCAGCGGGCCCGCACACCAGCCCGCACTTCTGAACGTCTGGCCAAGCAGGGGGAGCTGGAGCGGGACCTGGCCCAGCGCTCTGAGGAGCGGCGCAAGTGGTTCGAGGCCACGGACAGCAGGACCCCAGAGACGTCCACTGGTGAGGGGCTGCGCCGGGGCCTGGGCGCCCCCCTGACCGAGGACCAGCAGAGACGGCTCAGTGAGGAGATTGAGAAGAAGTGGCAGGAGCTGGAGAAGCTGCCCCTGCGGGAGAATAAGCGGGTGCCGCTCACTGCCCTGCTCAATCAAAGCCGTGGGGAACACCAGGGGCCCCCAAGTAACAGCCAAGAGGCACTGGAGAAGGAGGTAGGCACCATGGCTGGCCTCTCTTGGAGCCCACTTTCCTCACCAGCACCCCTCCAGTCTCTGCATTCATGCCTGGGCATTTGTCTTGCACACTGACAGTGATAGGGAGCTCACACCTGATCCACTGTCTGGCACCTCCTTGTGAGCTGGAATCTTCTTTCCTGGACCTTGATTCTGCCCTTAGCAACCATAGAGAAGGAAAGTGGGAAGAGAAGGGAGAGACCATGTATTGTGCATTTTCTACATACCAAGCCTGTCCTGGGCCCTGTTTACCTACATTGACTCATTACCTCACAGCAGGCTCATGATCCCAGAGGGTAGACCTTATCCCAGTTTTACTAATGGGACAACTAAGGCTCAAGGATGTTTCCCCTGCCACGTATAATGTGGCAAATATCTATGACCACGGTGTCCTGTTCCCAACCCTGTCTAGTTTTCTCTGGGCCAAAGCTTTCCCAGTTCTTTCATCTGGCCATCCAAGAAACAGCCAGAATGTCCCCCTTGCCTGCATCACCACACCAGGGCTGCTTGCCCTTCTCAAACCCAAAGCTGTTCCTAAGCATCCCAGGGAAGCTGGGCTTGCATCCGTCTGCAGCTGGGAGCCCCCATCAGCCCCCTCCCTGCTTCAGCTCCTCAGTGCTCCCACCAGCCCTCCTCCCACTTCCAGGCCCCACTGACCTGGCCTCCTCCCCTCATAGGTCCAGTCTCTTCGCTCCCAGCTGGAGGCGTGGCGTCTCCAAGGGGAGGCTCCTCAGAATGCACCTAGATCCCAGGAGGACAGCCACATTCCCCCGGGCTACATCTCACAGGTAAGACTGAGGAGCTGTTTTGTGGGGAATGGAGGCAGGTTTCTGGCTGCCGTGTTGTCAAAAAACAGCTAATATTTTGGGAGGCTTTCCTGTGTGCTAGAACCCGTGTGAGGCATTTGACATGCATCATCTCATTTAATCTTCCCACAGCTGGTGGGCATGATCACTGTGCCCATTTTACAGACCAGGCCACTGAGCTCTGAGAGGTTATATGACTTGCCCGAGGTCACCCAGCCTGCAGGTGTAAGAGGTGGGATTTGAGCGTGGGTCCGGCTGACTGCAGAGCCTGTGTGTGAGTCCCCGTGTGACACTCTGCGCTTGGACCCTTTCCCCTGCACCACCCTGGGGAAGGGGACAGCCAATGGCCCTGGGAGTCACTCCCTAAACACAGGGAAATCCTGCTCATGCCTCCAGGCCGAGGCACCACACAAAGGTCTGCAGGACATGGGAGCCTGCAATGGCCCTCATAAAGTGCGCCATCTGCCTAGGACAAGGGGGTGATTTTGTCCTTGGCTATGTCTGGAAACACTTTTTGTTGTCACAACTGGGACAGTTTAGCTCTCCAGAAGAAATGTGTGTGTGTATATATACACATATACTTATGTGAGTTTATTATAAATTTTACTTATATAAAGGATGTTTAGTATACAATTTACAAATAAAAAATATATAGTACTTTTTATTGTGAATTCCATGCAGCAAATGGATTCTTCTCAAAATGCTTTCAGTGATTTTTCTGTTCTCTTGCATCCACAGCTAATTAACAAATGCATGCAGGGCCGGCCCGGTGGCGCACTGGATAGTGCGCCGCTTGGGAAGCGCGGCGGCGCTCCCGTCCGAGGGTTCGGATCCCACATACAGACCGGCTCCCGCTCACTGGCTGAGCGAGGCGCGGGAGCAACACCGAGGCTTGCGATCCCGTTGCCGGTCCCCGGTCCGGTACGGGGGCAACACTGAGGGTTGCGATCCGTTGCCGGACACGGAAAAAAGACAAAAAAAAAAAAAAAAAAAAAAAAAAAACAAATGCATGTAGTTCTAATATGTATATTAGTTGACATCTTTGTTTATGCTAATGAGTAAAACGAAGACATATGTCAGAACTTTACTTAGTCAACATTGTGAACAACTTCTTTGCTGAATTAGATGATAGCTTTCTTTTGAGAATATTCTATCAAGAATATTTCCACAATTTTTTGTTCTATTTACAATGTAATGGTTATAGATATGACACACAAGCTTAATCTGCATCATTAGCATTTTCTCATCACTTGCTTAAATGTAGACAATCAACAAAACAATAAATCAAGCCCTGATTTGTAATGTTTACCAATTTCCATGGTGTAAATACTCCCACAATGGCTCATGTCAAGGTACCAGCATGAAGTCCCTGAACACGGAGTTGGGAAGAGATGTGCACACCATTGTGTAGTTGTACAGTATGGGATTTCCACTGTACAGATATGACAGACATAAGTAACTTCAAGAGCACATGTAATAGTAAAATGCAGTGAAATAATTAGGAAATGATACATTTTGAGTAACTATTATCTTTGTTTTTAATGTAATTAGTTGAATTGTAAGTGCAGTTGGCCCTGAGTATTTGTGGGTTCTGCATCCATGGATTCAACCAACCACGGATTAAAAATATTTGGGGGAAAAAAAAGGATGGTTGCAACCATACTGAACATGTACAGACTTTTTTTCTTTTCATTATTCCCTAAATAATACGGTATAATAACTATTTACATAGCATTTACATTGTATTAGGTATTATAAGTAATCTAGAGATGATTTAAGGTATACGGGAGGATGAACAACTATTTACATAGCATTTACATTGTATTAGGTATTATAAGTAATCTAGAGATGATTTAAGGTATACGGGAGGATATGCATAGGTTATGCAAATACTGTGCCAGTTTATATCATGGACTTAAGCATCTGTGGATTTTGGTATCCCCGTGGATACCATCCCTGAAGATACCAACGGACTACATATTTATTTAATATTTATTTATTTTCGGTGACTGGCTGGTACGAATTCAATATTTAATAATGGCCATGCTTACCAACTGTGTCACAAAATTCCTAAAAATTTGACAGACAGCTGTCTGCCGTCAGCACACCATTGCCTGAAGGGGAAAAGGATGCTGAGAATCTAGGCCCTGGGCAGGAGGAAACTTCTAGAAGTTTCCGGGGGGAGGTAGCTGTTAGGGAGCTCTCAGGAAGGCTTCCTGAGGGGTGGGCACTGAGCTGAGCAGTGGTTTATGGGTGGGGCATGATATGGAAGGCCCGTTGGTGCCTACTGTAGGGGCTTCCTGTGCCAGGCTAAAGAGTTAGAATCTCATTCCACAGACTTTAGGAGGCTTGTGGTCTGACAGTGACATTGGGAAAATGATGTTGGAGTGGAGTGGGGCTTAGGAGAGGGCAAGGCCCAGGTGTAAGGAGCTAGGACAATGGCTGAAGGACAGGTTGTTTAGAGGGAGGAGAATTTAGGACTTGGTGACTGGGTCCACAGAAGGCAGAAGGGAACCGCAGAGGCCCCAAGGCTGGGGCTATTGTGCAAGGCCAGGGGTCCATCTAGGGCCAAGTGGTTGACAGAAAGTTCAGCTGAAGGGGCACCGGGGCAGGGGGAGTTGGAACTTGATGTGGAGGGCTAGCCTGGGGGTCACCCGGGCTTAGGGAGGCGTGGGGGAGGTACCAGTGTTGTTTCTGCCTCTGTCTTGAGGCAGAAAAAGGGGGTGTGCAGGGCCTCTCCAGGCAGGGTGGTGCCTTACACCACAGCCTGAGTCAGCAGAGAAGACCTCAGAGGCCCCCTGCAAGCTCCCGGAAGCTCCAGGGGCTACCTTTCTGGATGCGTCGGACTGGGTGGGTCCATTCACACTCACCTAAAATCAGAACACCTCCATATTTGTCCATTTTACTCTTAGAACCTGCTTTAGACTTTATTTGGAAAAAGGTTTCTCCAACTAAAATGAAGTTTGAAAAGTACTGCTGTGGCTTCTCAGCTTACAGATGGGGAAACTGAGGCTTTGAGCTGTAGACAGACCTGTGTCTGGAATCCAGGCTTCCTGGTTCCTAGGCTCCAAAGTTGGGTTGGGATGGGCAGGGAAGCGGGTGGAATTGTGAGGGATGGTAGGTGGTGAGAAGGGAATAATCGGGAAACAGAGCTGAAGACTGGGATTAAGGAGTGGCTTCAGATGCGGAGGGCGTCAGAGAAGAGGAACCGAGTCATCTGCGTCCCCCACAGGCAGGGGAGGAGGCTACTGGAAATTCAGTGGATCCTGGAGAGGTGACAGCTGGGGAGTGATTCCTGAGCCTGGTATCTCAGGCTGAGTGGATGCCCCTCTTTCAGGGCTGGGGGGCTTGCCACTCCAGGACAGCTGTTGGGGGTGCTGAGGCTTCACCCATTGGGACTTCAGTACCTCCTCTGGCAAAATTGCAGTGGGGGCCACAAGCATTTCTTTACCTAATTTGATGTCCATGTCAGAGGTGGCAGCCAGTGTCAGAACACCCTGGGCCATTCAGGAAGATAGGTCAGAGAGCAATACTTTTAGGATCCCCTCTTCTTGGGCTGGTTCCCACCTCCTGACATCGGCCCCTGTACCCCTTATTAGCTGCTGGGTCTGCCTGCCTGGCTGCACATTGCTGGGCTCACCACAGGTAGACACTGGCTTACCTTACATTTCTGTGCTCAGGGACCCTTGTGGGTTGGTCTTGTGAGGCCTGTTTTACAGATGCTGAGTGGAGCTTAGAAAGGGCAAAGGGCTTGTGCAGATTCACTCTGTGGTGCAGCTAGGATTAGGACCCAGTCTGTGGAAATCCAAAGCCCTGTTCTGTTGTCCCAAGTTGGGGGACATACAGAAGACAGGCACAGAGGTCCAGCAGGAAAGACATCCCCTCCCCCTCAGAACACCTGGCCCTTTCCCTTCCCCAGCTGGCCTGCCACAGCCCCGTGTGTAGCTGTGGAGGGGTGGGGGAGGTGCCCTGTGTTATTGGGGTAAATACGGTTCCTTATCTGACTCTCTGTGCCTCAGTTTCTTTCCTGGCTCTTCCCCTTCCCTTTTTAATCACCTTAAACATTTTTTTTTAATTATAGTATATAAAAACATGTTTACATTTTCAAAAATAATTCAAACAAATCAAAAGGTTAGAAATGAACACGTGCTCTCTCCTTCCCCTGTCTGCCACCACCCCAGGCATCATCTCGGTGACCATTGCAGCATATCTAGACTAGTTTCCTGTGGCTGCTGTAACAAATTGCCACAACAGCTTCTTAAATAACACAAATGTATTATCTTGCAGTTTATAGGCTGGAAGGCTAACACGGGTCTTGCTGGGCCAAAATTGAGGCACGGGCAGGACTGTGTTTCTTTCTGCAGGCTCTGAGTGGGGTCCGTTTCCTCGCCTTCCCAGCTCTGGTGGCCCCCAGCGTCCCTGGCTCTTGGCCCCTTCCTTTTTCAAAGCCTGCAAAGGAGAAGTCGAGCGCTTGTCACTTCACATCACTCTCACCGTTCTTTCCTGGTCACCTCTCCCTCAGATGCTCTGCCTCCCTCTTCCACTGTTAAGGACTCTTGTAATTATATTGGGCCCACCAGATAATCTAGGATAATCTCCTCATTTTAAGGTCAGCTGATTAGCAATCTTAATCCCCCCTGCAGGTTTAATTCCCCTTTGCCACATAATGTGACAAAGTCCCAGATCCCCAGGAGAAGGGTGTGGACATCTTTGGGGTGGCCATTATTCTGCATCGTACAAAATTCTTCCATGGCTGCTTCTGTGTTCTACATGCACTGGGATGTCCAGCTCTGTGTGTTTCAGGGGGTCATACCATAGATATCGTCAGAAGCCAGCTTTCCTCACCTGACTTTGGGGATGCTTTCCCACAGCAGTCCACACGAGCAGCTCTGTCTTTTCACAGCTGCCTGGTGTCCTTTGTAAGTCTCAATCCATCATTTATTTAAGGGTTCCCCTGTTAGGCATTTAGGTTGTTTACAGTTTTCATCTGTTACCAACCCTGCCGTAGGGAATATCTTTGTCCGAGAGTCTTTGTACACATATAACTTTCTGTGGGATCATTCCTAGGAGTGGACCTGCTAGGTCAAGGGAGGGGATCATTAAAATTTGATGATGTTCGGATCCCCATACCAGCCATCTGCCAAAAAAAAAAAAAAAGAAAAGAAAAATGTGATGATGCTGCCAAACTGCCCCCACTCATTCTGTCACAGTGAGCACTCCCAGCAGTGGGTATTATTAGTCTTTCAAATACTTGCCCATCTTGTCTACAAAGCTCCATTTTGGTTTTTTGTTTGCTTGCTTGCTTTGTGGCTGGCCAGTACCAGCATCTGAACCCTTGACTTTGGTGTTATAGTACCACACTCTAAGCAATGGAGTGAACTAGCCAGCCCCTCCGTTTTGTATCAAGTTGTTGATTTCAGCTCATTTACTAAGCACCTGTCAGGTCCTGACCTGGACCCTGGGGATTTTGAGCTGGGCCAGATGTTCCCTGTCTTTGAGAAACTTATGGTTTGGCAAAAACAGAACCTTTGGAGGCAGGGGAGAGGCTGTCCAGTAACAGCTAGGAGAGACATTTAAGCTGATGTCTTAGTCTGTTTTCTGCTGCCATAATAGAATACCACAGACTGTGTAATTTATAAGGAAAAGGATTTTATTTGGCTAACAGATCTGGAGGCTGGGAAGTCCGAGAGCAAGGCACCAGCGTCTGATAAGCGCCTTCTGGCTGCATCATCCCATGGTGGAAGGGTGGAAGGGCAAACGCGCGCATGAGACAGAGAGAAATGGGGCCAAACCTCATCCTTTTATCAGGAGTCCTCTCGTGATAACTAACGCACTCCTGCGATAATGGCATTAATTCATTCATGAGGGCAGAACTCTCATGACCTGATCACCTCTTAAAGGCCCCACTCTCAACATCTTTATATTGGCAATTAAGTTTCAACGTGAGTTTTGGCGGGGACATTCAAACTATAGCAACTGGACTGCAGTCCAAGTGAATTACCCAGGAAAAGAACATTGCAAAAGAATGTTCCAGGCAGTGGGAATAGCATGAGCAAAAACTCAGGTGTGAACATGCTGTGAGTTTTTTTTTTTAATAACTGTGAGGTTACTTGGTGGGGAAGCGCTGGGATGAGGCCACAGGGTCAGCCACCAGAGCAGGAACTTGACTCTGCAGGATGAGAAGTCCCAGGAGGGTTTGAAGCAGGAGAGTGACATGGGAGGTTTGTGGATGAGGGGAGAGGTAGAAAGAATAGCAGGTTCAGGCTGACGGTGCTAGAGTCCAGCGACAGGTGGTGAGCCCGGCGAAGGCAGGCTTGCTTCTTGTCAAGAGGCTGGAGAAGGGCTGTGGTTCTGGGGCAGTGGGGGCAGCCCATGACCACTGGCCTCTGGCCTGCAGGAGGCATGCGAGCGCAGCCTGGCGGAGATGGAGTCCTCGCACCAGCAGGTGATGGGGGAGCTACAGCGGCACCACGATCGGGAGCTTCAGCGGCTGCAGCAGGAGAAGGAGAGGCTCCTGGCCGAGGAGACGGCGGCCACAGCCGCAGGTGAGGACCCCGCCAGGGTGGCACGGTGGGCTGGGCCAAGAGCCTCCACGTGGAGGCTCCTCCTAACTAAACCAGGGAAGCCTTTAAATAAGGAGGGGGGGCTGGGCCGTGGCTCACTTGGGAGAGTGTGGTGCTGATAACACCAAGGCCATGGGTTCAGATCCCTATATAGGGAT